GCCCCGTCGGGGCGCCCGGCGCGGGGCGGCCGCCCTCCCGCCTCCCGCCGCCGGCTGCGGGGCCGGGTACCTTCATGTGCTTCCGCAGGGAGCTGGGGTGCGTGTAGGACTTGTCGCACATCTTGCACAGGTAGGGCTTGTCCGAGGTGTGGACGTGCATGTGCTTCTTGCGGTCGCTGCTGTTGGCGAAGCGCCGGTCGCAGCCCTCGAACTCGCACTGGAAGGGCTTCTCCCCTGCAAGAGAGCGGCGCAGCAGCGGGGTGAGCGCGGCCGCCCCCGCGCAAACCCCGCACGGCCCCGCGCAGGGTTTCCCCGCCCTCGCCCTCCTCTGCCCGTCGTTCCGTACAGCAGTTTCCCAAAGCGAGGGGCCGGGAGGCTGTGTCCCGGTACCCGCAGGGCCGCAGCGCTCACGCCTTGCCCTGAAGCGAGGCAACCCTCGTCCCCCTCCTGCTTTTCCTACCAAAACCCCGGGGGTGTCCCCGTCCCGGCATCTTGCCTGATTTTATTTCGAGCGGTGCCGACACACATAGCCAGCCCCGAAAGAGATTGAAGAAGAAAGACGATTAAAAAAAAAAAAAAAGCAAGCATCACCGAGCCGTTTCGCCTCGGTACCAAATCCGCTATCCTGTTAAACTGGAAACCATTACCGACAGATTTAAGGCCGGGTATATTGTTTCTTGTATGGATATTCGAGATAAACGCACATCCGCTGGGAAAACTAAACGTCTGTAAAATACTTCATTTAATTTTCATAGGGATTCCTCTCGCCCGGCTGCCAGGACTCCAAATGCCGGGGAGTACTTTGGAGGTGAGAACTCCACATTCCCCCGCCTTTGGAGGGGGAAGCATTTAACATTAGATTCCATTAGCACCTAAATTGTTTCTTAAAGACATCCGCTCAGACACAATGACTTCAGTGCGGGCATCTCATGCAAATACATTTCTCAAATTTTAAACCTTGTTAAAGCTCGTCTCGCACCTCGCATCGGGCTTAGCACTTGAGAAAACAATAGGCCTCGAGATTTTTAGCCTTTCTCCGGGTAAATATTTGGAGTGGAAGTCGCTAAAATATTTGGCCGTCTTTTATGAAATAGTCTGGCACGGTTTGAGCCGGCAGGAGTAGTAAATGAATAATAGATGAGGCGGGAGGATGCGTTTATTTTTGTTACCCTTCGGCTCAGGCGATTTTCCATCAGGAAAGCCTGAGCTCCCTCGACCCTCTTCCACCTGATTTGGGTGGAAGTTTCCGAACCTCAAATCCTCTGTTCCCTATTACATAATTTAATAAACTGTTGCAAAAACACCTTAAATCACATCGAGTGAGACTTTAAAAACAATTTTTTTAAAATGAGAAAATTTTATTGCCTTGCTCACACCATTTAAATTTAATGGAAAACATTCCCAGAAAGGGACTTTTTGCCACTTCTAACGGGATTTAGGACTAATGATTGATTTTGCACGTATTTATATAGTTTCTCTCAGTATCCATAAATAAAAGCCATGCTCACAAGCGCTGAAGTTTTACGCAAATACGTTGCATAGAGCAAATGACTAAGGCGTTTCAGATGGATGGATGGATGGATGGATGGACGGATGTCTTCCCGTATTTTAGCAAGACGGCAAAATTTGGTTCGCGGTGTATTCCGCGTTTCTGCGGAAAGACTCTGCTGAACCTCAGCGCGAATCTACAGCTCTCACTCCCAGATTAAAACAAATCGGTAAAATATCCTTTCGAAATCTGGAATGGAGGGGGGGGTGTATGCTGCTGGGGAAGAAACCAAAACAAACGCAGCCATATGATGGAGAGGGTTAAAAAAAATAAACTGGAAGCTTATTTTATCACTCTCCTAATTTAACATCATTCTGTCTGAGTATCTATCAGTTTACACATATATTTATACACACGTATATAGGCACGGGCAGCGGGAGGAAATCTGGCGAAAGAAACCCGAATTACCTGTGTGCGTCCTTTTGTGAATTTTGAGATTTTCTGATCTGGCGAAAACTTTTCCGCAGCCAGGGAAGGGGCAGGGGAAGGGTTTCTCTCCCGTGTGCACTCGGATATGATTGACCAGTTTGTATTTCGCTTTGAAAGGTTTGCCTTCGCGGGGACACTCCTCCCAGTAGCAGACATGGTTGCTCTGCTCGGGTCCCCCAACATGCTCCACCGAGACATGGGTGACCAACTCGTGCATGGTGCTGAAAGTTTTATTGCAACTTTTTTTGGGGTTGTTCAGCTGTTCGGGATCGATCCACTTGCAGATGAGCTCTTGCTTGATGCACTGCTGCCGCATGTAGCGGAAAAAGGCACCTGGGTGGTGGTGGTGGTGGGCTGCCATGTTCATGCCCATATTCATATTCATGGGGCCGTACTGGTTGTGCAGCTGAGCCGCCGAGTAAGGGTCAGTCCTGGGGCTGGAAACCTGGCGGTACTGATCCGACCGGGCGAATACCTCCCCCGGCAAGCCCAGTCGCATCTGCCCGTTGAGAACATTTTGGGAAGCGTGGGGACCGTGCTGGTCGTGGATGCCCGGGAAGAGGAGGTGGCTCTGAGCGTCCGTGTGCGGGTGGTGCAGGCTGCCGGCCGCAGGGCCGAAGATGCCGTGCTGTCCGCCGGCCGGCGACGAGTCCCCGAAGCCCCGGCTGCGAAACAAGAAGTCCCGGGTAGAGTTGAAGGGCGCCCCGGAGTAGGAGCCGACATGAGCGGCGTGGGGGCCCAGGGCGGCGGCAGGGTAACCGGGCGCCTGCGAGGTGAACGCCGAGCTCTGCCCGGGGGAGAGGTCGTGGGCGCCGGCGTTGAGCTTGAAGGCGCCCATGTGCGCCGCCGCCGAGTCCACGAAGCTGTTCTGCGCCGCCAGGCTCAGCTCCCGGTCCTGCATCTCCGCCGCGGCCGAGTGGTGGTGCCGGGCGAAGGTGCCCACTCCGAGGGCCGGGAACTGCGGGCCGGCGTCCAGCAGCATGGTCCGCGCCGCTCCGGGGACGCAGCCGCCGCCGCCTCCCCGCTACAGCCTCCGCCTCCGGGCTGCCGCCGCCCGCCCGCCCGGGCGCGGG